ATATTTTGCTTTTTTGGATTAAGAATTAGTACTATATAAGAAACATACAATAAGAAATACTTTGCAAAATATTGCTTAAGAATCAACTGTTCTTAAATTCCTTATGTCAATTGTGTTATTTGTATATATTCATAAGTATTACCCAAATTACTGTCTCTTTAAACATTAAAGAAAAAATAAGTATATTTATTATATTGTATAATTATCATAAGTATAATTTAATATTAATAGAACATAATTATACATAAGTATAATATAATAGACATCTTCAAACTTATAATTATATAAGTATAAATTAAGCGAAGCACATAGATACACATAGATTTCCATCTTTACCTGAAAAAGACTAAAAATAGATAAGTTACCTGTCTCCGGATTGCAAATTTTACCTCACATTCATTGTTTTGTACAAATGATGGATAAAAGAAAATATAACTTAGACTCATGTGATTTTCCTATTTATCAACTACAATGGCTTAAATATTTTTGTCCCCTCCAAAACTCATGCTGAAACTTAATCACCAATGCATCAGCATTGGGAGGTGGGGCCTAATGAGAGGTGTGTAGGTCATAAGGGTTCCACTCTCATGAATGGATTAATGCTGATATAAAAAGGGCTTGCTCTTCCCCACTCTTCTGCTATGTGAGGAAAAGACCAGACTCTTACCAGATACCAGGCAAAATGCCAATGTCTTGATCTTGGATTTCTAGCCTCTAGAACTCTGAGAAAATAAATTTCTGTTCTTCATACACTATCCAATCTTAGGATTCTGTTATAGCAGCACGAATGGACTGAGACATGAAATTATTTCTTTTATTTATTAATTTAGTAAATATCTATCATTAATCTATTATGTGCTACAACAAGGGATGGAATAAAGAATTTGACCTTGCCCTCAAGAATTTTTCATTTTAAAATATAAGACAGAATACCAGGTTTCCTCTTTTGTCATTAGGGGGTCACATAGGAAAAGTTGAATAATCTAGCCTGAAAAAGAAAATACAGAGTTAAGAAATTGGCAAGAATTTGCTGAAAACTCTCTTTGGTTTTGTTTTCACTTGATTGTGTATTAGTTCATCACAGTCACAGGGTTTTTAGACAGAGTCATTGTTAGATTTCATTAAATAGACCTCTTACAGGTATTTTGGGGGGTAATCTGTCAGGGCTGGAAGCAAGGACAGCACCAGGAGACCCTGGAGCCCTAAAAGGGTATGGATAGAATTTACCAGGTCCTTGAAATTGAATGGGGAAATGTTACATTATTATCATCATTAATCTCTTATTAAAACTAATGATTTTCATCAATTACAAATATAAGGATCAAACCAGAGTAGTATTAGCAATACCAGCCACACTATAACCAACAGAAACCATAGGTATATCCAGCTATTACAGCCTTCTTAAAATGCTTTTTATTTATTTATTTTTTAATTATGATGAAAAACAGATAGCAGAAAATCTACCATCTTAACCATTTTTAAGTGGGTAGGTCAGTAGTGTTATGTTTATTTGCATTGTTCTGGAACAGATCTCCAGAAGTTTTTCAATCTTGCAAAACTGAAACTATGCACTCATTAAATAGCAACTCTCCATTTTCCCCTAACACTAGCAACTACCATTCCACATTCTGTTTCTGTGAGTCTAACTATTTAGATGGTTTGTATAACCGGAATCATACAGTATTTTTCTTTCTATGACTGGCTTATTTCCTTTAGCATAATGTCCTCAAAGGTCATCTGTGTTGCAGGATGTGACCAGATTTTCTTCCTTTTTATGGCGGAATAATATTCCACTGTATGTATATTCCACATTCTATTTATCCATTCATTCATCCCTGGACATTTGAGTTTCTTCCACCTCTCAGCTATTGAGAATAGTGCTGTTATAAGCATGAATGTACAATATCTCTTTGAGACCTTGTTTTCAATTCTTTTGGATATATACCCAGAAATGGGATTGCTGGGTCCTATGGAAATTCAATCTTTAATTTTTGAGGAACTACCTTATTATTTTCCATAGCAGTTGCAGCATTTTACACTCCCATCAACAAGGATTCCTATTTCTCCACAAATTCACCAACATTTGTTATTTTCCAGTTATTTGATAGTGGCCGTGTGGTTTTGATTTGCATTTCTCTAATGATTACTGATGTTGAGCATCTTTTTATATGCATTTTAGCCATTTGTATATCGCCTTTGGAGAAATGTCTGTTTGAATCTTTTGCTCACTTTTTAACTGGCTTATTTGCTTTTTTGTTGTTGAGTTGTAGGAATTATTTTATATATTCTGGATATTAATCCCTTATCAGATATATGATTTACAAATATTTTTCCCATTCTGAAGGTAGTCTTTCATTCTGCTGATTGAAACCTTTTTATGCACAGAAGTTTTTAAGTTTAATGTAGTCCGATTTGTCTATTTTTGCATTTGTTGCTCATGTTTTGAGTGTTCTATCCAAGAATTTATTGTAAAATCCAGTATTATAAAGCTTTACCCATATATTTTTTCCAAAATTTTTATAGTTTTGGGTTTAATGTTTAGATCTTTAATGCATTTTGAGTTGATTTTTGAATACAGTGTATGGTAAAGGTCCAACTTACATATGTGTATATCTAATTTTCTCAACACCATTTGTTGAAGAAACATGTTCTTTTTAAATTATTATTTATGCCTTTCACTTCTTCAAGCTTGCATTAAATATTAATCCTACTGTTAGAATTTTTAATTTAACATACTAATAAACAAATTGCTATATCACATATCTATTTTTAAGTATGTTGATAAATACATTTCAATATTATTTACTTTCTTTGTAATCCTTTGTAATTTATTTTATGTATTTATTGATTCTGTGCATTTATGACTTAAATTTATTTTACATATTTTGTGCCTATTTATTCATTTAAAAATCATATGAGAAGGGGATCAACAGGATTCACCAGACTTCACAAGAGTCCCTGGCCTCAAAAATTTTTTAATAATTCAGAGATTGTTTCAGCAACTCAGGTACAAATGAGGCCTTGAACTAGGGCAATGGTACTAATAAATATGGAAAATAAAGAAATGGGCAAAAATTAGCATGACTTGGTGATTAACCAAATGCCAAGAACAAGGGAGAAAGTGAAGACAGTGATGATTACCAAATTTTTAACTTGGGTGATTGAATGGTTGGTGGTGTGTAGTTCTAGGAGTCATCAGTATAGAGATGCCTGAGATCACCCGTGGGGAGAAAGCGGAAGACAAAATTAACTCAGGATAAAACCATAGGAAACCAATATTCAAAAGAATGCCCAACTCATTATTTTCAGCTATGGGGTCATGCAATACACGTAATGTATCAGCAAATAGAACTACTATGTAAACAATAAAACTTTGATGAGCAATTCGTGGTTAATTTGTAAAAGGACAATTGGCTATGACTCTACTGCACATTTATAATCTTTGCACCTGCAATTATTTATATGCAAAAAAAAAAAAAAGAATGCAGCCACAGTTGCCTAATTACAGGCACAAACATCCAAATTTGCCCTCAAAAAGAATAACACAAAGAGATACCATCTGTGAAAGTGCAGCAAATCTCTCAGACCTTTCTTGCTCCAAATCCTGTAAGGCTGGTGGGCACATCTCCCTTTTGGCTTCTGTCTCAGGCTTTATTCTTGCCTGATCTCATCCACGCATTACAGGCTAGTCAATCTGACAAACTGAGAGTCAGCAGGCCTTTCCTCTTAGCCAACGAATATTCCCCCCATGTACACACACAACCCCAAATGTAACATGCACCAGAGTATGGGCAGACTAAAAACATAAGCCATTTCTGAAGCACATCATTTGCTTCATTACCCTGAGCAGATTCAATTTTTTTTTCACATGTAATTTTACAAGGTAGACAATTTGAATACTGTAAAGATGAAACCTCATACAAATTTCTCCTCAAATGTGACAAGAAAATTATGTTACTCTACCTTTTAAAAAAGTTTTAGTCATTTATTAAAAACATAGCTGTCAGTTTTGATCAACTGTATTCAAATTTCCCTGTTATATTATTAGGGCCATCATGAAATTTAATAATTGTCCCTTGGAGTTTGATTTCCTACAAAATCGTCATAACATAATCAGTACTATGGCAAATAATTTTTGAACTATGTGGAGACAGTTATGATTTCAGGTGGGAAATATATAATAATAGATGAGAAATATAAAACCCCATTTGACACTTGATAAAGATTCTGTTCTCATACAAATGTCAGTAAAAATAAATGAGGGGACAACAAAGTCTGCTTTATGAAAATGAAACACATTCCAGACAGAATAATTTTCAAAGATTTAATGACAGTTCACATATTATTTGCTTACCATTTAATCATATAAAAAACTTTGATAAATCTTCTGTGGTAGAAACAATATACGTTCTAAGAATGAAAAATTCAGTAGTTTATTAGGATAATGACTAACATCAGAATGTAACATGTGTTTCTTCTATATGAACTCGATATTTCTTCACTGTTTGGAATTGTCATAAAATATTAACATAAAGGCTTTAGGGGGAAATAAAAGCTTAGGAATTCTAAAATGTTCACTAGTTTTATTTTTTTTAATTAAAAAAATTACAGTAATAGGAAGGTATGTTTTTGTTCTACTACCTTTGTCTCAGTGGTATATGAGTTGCAAAAAGTTGAAGCAGTAGTTAGACGCCAGTCTTAAGTTATGGACAAGGGGGCACATGTTTGGACATAAGAAATATGATCATTTAGATTGAGCAAAGAGAAACCATGTTAAGAAAATTAGAATTTGTGAAGGTGAAACATCCATTCCAATAAAAGAATTAATTAGAAGTAAAAGGTTGGTCAGCCATTTGTTCTATCAATTGTATATAGTTGAACATTTCAGTGGATGCAATTAAAGTTCAAAATATTACTAATGGCATAATGAATGTAAGTCATTCATTTTCACATGAGGTAGAGAAATGTTTTGAGACATTAAAAAGGATAATGCTACTCACATCCTGAGCTACCGTTTGTTGACACCAGAGTCAAGTTGGAAGGCCATGGATTCCGAACAATATCTTGCCAATGAATGGTGTCTGCATAACAAAGGAATTTGTTCTGGTCTACATAGACTCCACCATTTAGGATTTCTGTATTAAAAACAAACAAACAAACAAACAAACAAATTTATTGTAAAACTGCTTGTTGATGAAAAGGTAGCCAATACAAATGATTTGCTCAAACAATTTTTTTTATGTCAAATTAGAGTTACACCATTAATAGCTAAGATTTCTTTTTTAATATCTTTCACCGAGTCATTATACATTAATTGCAGAAATTTAAAAAGACTGAAAAATGCAAGATTGAGAGAGGGGAAAAAAAAAAAAAACAGAATCCTAACACTCAGAAAGAAACACTCAATATTTTGGTATAGAATTCTACCAGTATCTTTCCTTTTTTTTCCCCCATCAAATTGGAATAATATCGTATGTAATATTTTATAACCTGCTAGTTTTGTTTAATATTATGTACTGAGCATTTAATGGTAATGAATTATTATATACTATTTTTAATGAAAATATAGTAAGCCAGAATATAAATTAAATAGTAATTATTTACATTTAACTTATTTTTCTCTTCAAAATAAACTTCTAC